TGTAAATATTCACATGTGCTTTGTGCACTGGTTAAATAACAATAAAAGGCAAAAGGATCAGGGGATCTTATCTGTGAATTGCTCTGTGATTTACTCTTTTCTCCATTTGGTACAATCCTTAGTGCAGATTACTGGTTTAGATTCACTGTTGAAAATTGCACTTTGGCTAATAGGTTTCTTACTTTTCTTGCATAGTTTTAATAAAAATGAGAAAACTGAATGTTTGTACAGAGATGACTTTTTTTTATTTTTGTAAGATTAAAATTCTCCTGATATGCAGAGGGAAATAATTTTTGCTCTTTGCTCTTTTTAAATTTTGCTATAATAGCTGTATTATATAGGAAATAGATATCTAAGTAATAGAATTGCTGGGAGAGGTAGAAGAGCAATTCGTCTGTAACCTGAAGGAAGGATCAGGGGATCTATGAATTGCTCCATGATTTATCCCTTTCTCCAACTGGTGGGATCCTAATTTAGTGTGGATTTCTGGTTTAATTCATTGTTGAAAATTGCAGTTTGGCTAACAGGTTTTTACTTTTCTTGTATAGTTTTAATAAAACTCAGAAAATTCTATGCCTGAAAAGAATATTTTAAAGAATTTGACTAAAATTGATCTTAATCCAAAATAGGCTTAAAATAAAAAAACTTTATTTCAGTGGCCAAATGAATGACTATAAGTAGTGATTTTTTTTGTAACTGTTCATAACATGCTCTCTCATTATTTTGATATTTCATAAACACAGCTATATTTAAAGGCATAGGGGAAGGGTCAGCTTTGTATTAAGGACAGGAAGCTTCATTCTTGCTAGCTGACAGACTGTTTCCTTGTTGTTTCTTTTGATATCTGGAGATTAAATGCTATGTGGGGAGAAAAATTCAATTATTTAAAACATTTTGCATCAAAATGACACCCTTTAATGTATTTTTCTCTGATGTTAAATTTATCTTCTCATCTAAAGGGGAAAAAAATATGTTTGTAGTTTAAGTACCTGAGCAGAGCTTTTAACAAAAGTCTGGAAAGAAGAAGAAATCTGCATGTATGTCTTTAGAGTAGTCGCATTTTGCCTTTTTATCCTTCTAGGCTCCCTGGGACTTGTGAACTGGGGAGGTTTACTGCTGCCCTTCCAAATGATGCTCTCAAATTAAGAGTTCAAATTTCTGAAATTCCTAAAGTCCTCAAGAGGAAAAGGGATAAGGGAAAGTGATGGTCATAAGCTAAGATTTTCCAGAGTGCCTCTGCTGGCTGTGTATGCGTACATTCTGACTAAAAGCAAATAGGCCAGACTCTCACCTGGAAAACTTATGCAGTTGTTGAACAACTTCTTCTTTTCAACTTTGTTTGATTCAATGTTAAATGCCTTATGTAGCTCTAAATAATTCTGATTTCATATTGTTAAAACTTAGGAGATCTGAACGGTGAGTCTGGGACGTCTGTTTCAGACTTACTGCATTGCTGTAAACGTGAAGCATTCCATCAACTTCATGTCCTCCACCGTAGTGTCTCTGAATAGCTGTCATGGCACATATGTAGCCAGATAGGAACAGCTGGTATTCTTGCTGCTGCATTTCCATGCATTGGGCTCCATGTTGATGTATGCGATGTCCACTCTCTGGCTGAAATCCTGACCCTGTTTAAATCAATGGCAAAACTCCCATTGACTTCAGTAGAGCCAGATTTCACCCTCTTTTGTTTTTTCTTTTGTGTCATTGACGTTTTAGTGTCTTTGAAGTCTATAATGTAATCCCCAATGCTTCACTCTCTTCCCTATGTGATGCACTGAGGCTCCGGTAAATGGTAGAGAGGCTGCATTGCTAAAGTGCCATAGGCCATAAGTTTTTGTGGAGTAACTTCAGTTTAGATTGTGGTGGCGGTTGTTTACTTTTTTTCTTCTCAGAAGTAAAGTGATAGGACAGGTGCAGAAGCAAAAGTTTTAATCTGAGCCGTATTGGTTAAAGCCTTCAGTAAGGAGCAAAATGGCTACATATTGTACTGCAGCATTACTACAGGATTCTTAAATAAAGGAAAACATCACTGAAAAATGAGTCACTTTAATATGTATAAAAATCCCACAGTAATAATTTATTATGGCTTTTGTTATTTTTTTTAAGATATGCCCCTAAATATTAAACATAATTTAACATTAACATTCAAAGGGACAACTGGGTTTTTTAAAATTATTTTTCTAGCATTTAGTCGTCTTAAAATTTTGACATAATATTTATTTAATCAACAATTTACTCCCTTTCCATTTCAGTTTTTTTCCCCCTTGTTGTTTCTGAAGTACAAACCAACAAGTTGCACCTCTGATGGTTGGCTTCTTTTTTTTTTTTTTTGCAAAGCACCCTGAGGTCAGGTGTCTGGGTGAAAGCTGCTATATTCCAGCAATGAATGGCAAATATTTTAATTAATTTTAAAATTTCCCCCTCCCCAGCATGTGACAAATCTAATATATCAGGAATTCGTGTTCTAATAGAGCAAGGTTGGGGTGGGGCAACGGACTGGGCAATCTATTCATTTATTTTCCCCATTAAAACTAAAATCAATCCCCATAGCTACATACAAGAGGGAAGATGACACCCCTGGGCAACTAAATGTATTAAACTGCTTCATCAGGAATAGTTGTAGTTTGTTCCTGAATGGTCTGCTGAGTGTATTGATGGTGTCATTCCATGTTCATCATGGTATTTGAAGTGGGGAATCTTCTAGGAAACGTTGAGAATATCTTCCCCAGGGACCTTTTTGTAAATACCTACCCATCAATTCCATCTGGTCCATCACAAAAGCAAAATGCTGCCCATTTGAAATATTTTTTTTTTTAGATCTGGGAATCAACCATCTGTGGCAGGGATTGTTTAGCAGTGCTCTGTTGAAAGTCAGAGGTGTACTCGCAGTATAAATGCCTAGCTGGAGCTATCCCAAGGAGAAGATGAACTCAGACATTTTGAGAAGGTTTCCTTGCACCTTACTTTGAATTTGATGACAGAATTTAAACAAGGTGCTCCTGAGAGTCCTTGCCAGGATATAACTACTGTTGGTGGTGATATAAAGCCTATGAAGGCTCCACACACACATACGAACATAAGAACAGCCATACTAGGTCAGACCAAAGGTCCATCTAGCCCAGTATCCTGTCTTCTGACAGTGGCCAATGCCAGGTGCCCCAGAGGGAATGAACAGAACAGGTGATTCATTCCCTGTCGCCATTCCCAGCTTCTGGCAAACAGAGGCTAGGGACACCATCTCTGCCCATTCTAGCGAATAGCCATTGTTGGACCTATCCTCCATGAGCTTATTTAGTTCTTTTTTGAACCCTGTTATAGTCTTGGCCTTCACAATATTCTCTGGCAAAGAGTTCCACAGGTTGACTGTGTGTTGTGTGAAAAAATACTTCCTTTTGTTTGTTTTAAACCTGCTGCCTATTCATTTCATTTGGTGAACCCTAGTTCTTGTGTTTATGAGGAGTAAATAACACTTCCTTATTTACTTTCTCCACAGCAGTCATGATTTTATAGACCTCTATCATATCCCCCCTTAGTCGTCTCTTTTCCAAGCTGAAAAGTCCTAGTCTTATTAGTTTCTCGTTATATGGCAGCCGTTCTATACCCCTAATCATTTTTGTTGCCCTTTTCTGAACCATTTCCAGTTCCAATATACCTTTTTTTGAGATGGGGTGACCACATCTGCACGCAGAATTCAAGGGTGTACCATGGATTTATGTAGTGGCAATATGATATTTTCTGTCTTACTTATCCCTTTCTTAATGATTCCCAGCATTCTGTTCACGTTTTGACTGCCGCTGCACATTGAGTGGATGTTTTCTGAGAACTATCCACAGTGACTCCAAGAACTCTTTCTTGAGTGGTAACAGCTAATTTAGACCCCCATCATTTTCATGTATAGTTGGGATTATGTTTTCCAATGTGAATTATTACTTTGCATTTATCAAGATTGAATTTCATCTGCCATTTTGTTGCCCAGTCACCCAGTTTTGTGAGATCCTTTTGTAGCTCTTCGCAGTCTGCTTGGGACTTAACTATCTTGAGTAGTTTTGTATCATCTTCAAATTTTGCCACCTCACTGTTTACCCCTTTTTTGAGATTATTTCTTATAAACTGGGGGACAGTTTATTTACCTCTCTCCATTCTAAAAACTGACCATTTATTCTTACCCTTTGTTTCCTATCTTTTAACCAGTTACCAATCCATGAGAGGACCTTCCCTCTTATCCCATGACAGCTTACTTGGCTTAAGAGCCTTTGATGAGTGACCTCATCAAAGGCGTTCTGAAAATCTAAGTACACTATATCCACTGGATCCCCCTTGTCCACGTGCTTGTTGACCCTCTCAAAGAATTCTGAAAGACCTTTGTTTTCCTACTCTAGAAACTTAAAGACTGGGATAGTAATTGCTGTTACACCAGCATCTTCTGACGTGGGGATATTCAATGCCAGTCTCACTTCCTAGCAGGCATACAAAATCAGGTCTCATTCTCGTGTCATCCAAACACAGAGACCCACCTTATAGCCTCTAGCCCACAGACTTTTGGATACAGGCAAAAGCCAACAACTGAGGATCAGAAATGAATTAAAAACTTGGAGAATGTGGAAAGAATAACTTTTTGAAAGAGCTTTATTATGTTAAATGTTTAGTATCTGTAAACAATTATAGTATTCAGAGGTACAGATTTTAAATAGGAAGCATAGATATTTTAAATTATACCAGTTGGATAAAATAGCAGAGGCTCTGCAAATAACATCCTGTATTTTTCTTTTTAAAAACATAAACATCTGCTTTACTTATTTAATTATAGAAGCATGTATTTTTCTTGCATAAACGTGGTTATCTTTAGCTAAAGTTGACAGTTTTAAAAACTGTTTTAAATGACTCATAATATGAAATCTGTCCTTTCCTAACATTCTTACTGTTTTTTTCCCTTCAATATTGCTTGAAATCAGTATTATGCCAATGTTCCTTAAGCACCATTTCTGATTTTATTACAGCGGATATTCAACTCCTTTGTGTATACCGAAAAAATCTCAAATGGAGAAAGTGAAGTTCAACAGGTAAGGAAAAAATGGAATGTATAAAAATCCCGGGCTACCCGTTGGGTGAAAGTGTTGGGTTTTTAAAGGGACACAGTCAACTTAAATATCACACTTTTGTCTGAATTTATTTTATTGACTATTCTTACACATGAAATCAGAATGAACAATAACTGAAGGTTGTTTACTTTGTACCCATCTGGTAGCTTCGCTCTCCCCTGAATAGTAAGGCAATTTACTTCTCTGTATGGGTTTTTCACTCAGCAACAAGGGAGAGAAAAACATGTCTAGTATAGGCAGGACTTGGAGACAGATATAGTATTGACACTGCTTTCCTAAAAAAAAATTGACTAGATTTCAAGTTGACTGTGCCCTTTAAATAATCTTCATTTTAGGTGCATGTTTAGTGATCAGTAACACATTGGCATTGTATATGCAGTGTTGTGTACTTGTGAGCTTTCAAATTTAATCTCAGCCAAAGCTCATCTGATTTATGTGAAGATATATGATTAGCTTATTACATCTGTTTGCATCACTCAAATTTTTGTCTGTTTATTTAAAATAATAGATTTGAAAATTCAACGTATGTTTGGGTTAAAAAAAATTAAATCTTGAGTTTAATATTAGGTAAGTGTGGGCCCCCACATTGGTTATTTCTATTTTAATACACTGCAGTGCATGAAACAAAGGTTATGTTTGGGTAAATATAAAGGCTAAAGGATCAGATTGAATGAAAAAGACAAACCTAAAATTCTAATTTTACTTTCAACTTGCTTATTCTCAGAACTCCATCTCATGCTAAATGTGATCAATTTTGATAGAAATGGCAAACATGGTTTTATGTAACTGATCTAGGGACTAGAACAAAGAACTGCCTTTTGATTCCCACTTAAGCCACTAACTCACTTATGTGACCTTTTGCAAGTAACTTGACCTCCTTAGACTCCATCAAACCTATTTTAACATTCAGTAAAAACAAAACTGCCTCAGAGCAGAGTTTTCCTAGGGGAAAAATGAATTGCCCACAAAACATGCAAGTAATTTTTAATTTGGTGGCTGGACAGTTGTACTCTTTCAAGAGCATTTTACAACTTTGCATCAGCATATGCATTTAAATTGGATGTGCAGATAAGTAAACGAACTCTCCAAGTAACTACTGTAACTAAATTGAAGAAGCTATCAGACATAAATTGCTTTCCAGGGCAAAAAGTCAAAATAGAGATGGGTTTGAATTAAACTCTGGATTCAGATATAGTACACTCAAACTTTAGGCAAATTGGAATTTGAAATTGGAGCTCAGCCCTTCTCTAGTTCAAAGGAAATACAGTAATTTGGATATGGTTATAGTCATTCTTGGAGTTGAGTTAATATGTGGAAAATGGAATAATATAAGAAAAATTCTAACAATTTTAGGTACTATTTAAAAAAAATCTTCAGTTTTAAGAATGTTATTCTTTGCTGGAGTTGAAATTAAAGTGCATAATATATCAGAGCTCAACTTTCATGCTTGTCTATGATAGTATGATTAGTGACCCAGGATGAAAAGTAGACTGTCAGATAAAAGAAATCATACATTTTAAAAATCACCCCAAGTGTAAGTAAGCCCAGCTTAGTTTATGAAAACTCAAAGATTGGTAAAAGGGAAATTTTACTCTTCATCTTTGGTGCTTCTTGTGTACTATTTGAATTCATGCAGGTTGGTGAAACTAGATTGACTGGTGTGATAACACTGTTCATAGGAATTGACAGGGGAGATTCTAGTCAATTATCCTGTCTCTGACAGTTACCAATACTAGACACTACAGAGGATGGTGGATAAACTCCGGCAGTGGATATTATGCAATAGCATGTGCTCTGTGGGAGAAGTTTTTTTTCCTAGTACCAGTTGAAGGTTGGGTTGTGTCCTGAATTGTAGATGATGTTGTTTATATGAATATCTAATCTTTTTAATGTAACCTGCTAAGTAGTTTGCCTCAATATTTTGTTGCAGTCAGTTCCATGCATTAAATGTGTTTGTAAACTTGCTGCCTTTCAATTCAGTTGGGGAGTCAGTTCCTTTGTGCTTGTAATATGTGAGAGGAGGGGGAAGTATGATAGGAGGGCCTTCTCTGTTCCATTTTCTATTTCCCCTGTAGAGCTCTGTACTGTCATCTAAGTCACCTTGTATTTGTAGCCTCTTTTAACTAAATTGTGTGGAAGATTTTCTCTGTTTCTAAGAATTTTCCTTATCCTTCTCTGGACTTCTTCTATTTCTGCTTTGTTTGTTTTTTTTTAAGCTGAGGTGATCAGAACTGGACACAGTAATGAGGATCAGGATGTGCTATCCATTTGGTATAAAGGCCTTGAATTAGTTTCAGTATTATTCTCTATCCCATTCCTAACAGAGCATTCTCAAATTGCTGCTTTTTTAGACTATTATTGTGACTCAACTCGATCAGAGGTTTTTAGGGAGCTGTCCCCAATGACACGCCAGTCTCATTATATCACTGGTCTGTGTGTATAAACATATTTTTTTCTTGAGTGATTACAGGTAATTGTGAACCCACCTATGTGTTTGAGAAGTTCAAATTATTTCTTCCCAAGTGCATTACCACTAAATTTCTAAACTACATTTCATTGTGTTGCCTAATTGCCTAGGTTGGATTCACTTTTCTGTTAATATTTCAGCAAAATATTTGTATATAAATAAAATTAAAAAAAATTTCAATTAACATTAGGTCTTAACAAATCCATTTGTTCTAACTAAATATATTTTTTTATCCTAAACTACCTGACAGTTTCCCTTTCTAAAATTTAATTACTCATTGCGATATGCAGCATTGTTCCCAAAGAAACCATGGCAACAGTGTTGCGGAAACAAAATAATAATACCAACAAAGAGCTGAGGACATTTCTAATTTATTTAATTCACTGGTGTTTTATGCACTAAGGTTTACTTTTGTTTTGTTAGGAATTTAGTGTACTTACTATAGCTGCATCCATCCGTATTATATATCTAAATATCGTACAACTATCCAAAACATACAAAAATTCACACTACTTTCTCATAATTGTACAAAAAATGGCTTTTTGTCATTAGGGACATAAAAAGGGCTCAGTGATTATACTGTCCCTAAAAGAGATCTCTCGTGTCATAGTATCAAACCTATATACTAGTGAGGAGTAGTAATTAAGTTTATAGTACTGTTCATTGTCTGGAATTTTCAGAAATATTGCCAGTCATGTTTTTTGGTAGGTTCCTAATTTTTTCTTGAAGGAAGTTGAATGCATATTGGTAATATAGTATTTTAAAAATACTGGATTAATGATGGATTCTAAAGTTTTCATATTACTACTAGTCTTAAATTAACATACTGTACATTAATATTTAAACCAATTTAAAGGGCTATGTTAATTATCACAGTATAATATTTGGATTGAACCTGGTGCCACACCATATTCTATTTGTATACACATGCACAGAATCACTGGTGGTGAAGATTAATGTTAAAATCTTGGATTTAAAAAGCTACTCTGTTACCACTAGGTTTTAAAAAAATTATTGCCCTCTGGAGATTACATTTTAAACTCAAGGGTCATTGGTTTTCACTTCAGACAACCATGAAGGCTGTGAAGTAAATAAGATGGGGGCAGGCAGAGAGGAGCTTGTGCTTAACTCAGGAGAGCGGGGAGGAGGGAAAGGAGGGAAAGAACCTTGTATATTCTTCCAGTTTAGATACAGTGGAACTTATTGTGATGGTTTCCCCCCTGGGGTGCCACCTGGAACTGAGGTACCACTGAGCCCTCTGACTCACCAGCCTGGGTTTCCATTCACATGGTGCTGCTGTGACAACCTGTAGACCACTCCTGGTCCTATACTCCCACCAGCATTCGCACAGGCAGGGACACATCCAGCTGCAGTTACATGAGGTTGACCAGCCACTACATGAACCAACAATAGAGAGACTACAGTTAAGATATCACCAGCTTCTGAGCCTAGGAGCCCAGAGCTGTACTGTCCTGCCCTGGCCGAAACCCTGACCAGTATGAATTTATTACCCAGTTTGCCCCCCTCTCAATGTGGAGAGGAATATGCAGCAAGCCTGTGTTAAACCAAGCTGAGACTCTTCTCCAGACACTTCACTTAAAGGCACACTGGTTTAGATGAAAACATAAAACAAGTTTATTATCTACAAAAGATGGATAAGTAGGGCCCTACCAAATTCATGGCCATGAAAAACGTGTCACAGACCGTGAAATCTGGTCTTTTGTGTGCTTTTACCCTATGGTATGGGATGAGATTTTGAAAAGTGAGTAGTGATTTGATGGCCTTAGTTTTTGGATGCCCAAATTGAGACACCTTAAAAGGGACTGCTTTTTCAGAAAGTGCTGAGGCAAACTCTCGACAGATTGGCCATAAGATGTCTTAGGTTGGGTATCCAAAAATGGAAGCAACCAAAAATCATTAGTTGCCTTGAAAAATCTATGCCATACTGTATATGGTATTAGAAAGAATGTGGCTTATTGTGCAGTCCATTGTAAAGAAATTTGTTTCTGTATGAGCATGCACAAATGTGTGTGCTTGTGTGCAACATGTCCAAAATGGGGCAATTGTCATGGTAAGTTGAAGTTTTAGTCCTTAAATCATCTTGACGTTGGTAAAGAAGGGCTCACTGGCTTTAATTTAAAGTTGAAGAATAATATCTTTCACTACCATTTCTGGGTGGTCTGCACACCACATAAAAGTCACATGGGCTAAATTATACATATCAGATGGCTTTTGAAAGTAAAAAGTGTGCTTGGGAAATTCAGAAACTGAAGTGGCTCTTCTTTATGGAAGCCTTCATTACACTTTTTTTTACTTGAGAGAAAAAAAACACACTAGCTTAAATCCCCATCACAGATGCACACATTAACTCTAGACATTTATTTATATCTACTTAAACATTGTAAGTAGTGTGATGAGTACTTAACTGTCACAGAAGAAAAATGGGGCCACAATAGAGTATAATTACTGTGGTTAAAAGCTCAATATTGAAGTG